AAAACTGGGCAGCTGGCCGAAAACTTCAAACTTGGCCAAAATTGTTGCAGAAAAATTCAACTTTCGCTAAAAAAATTATCAGAATCTGAAAATTTTCCAGAAAAAATTTTCGTCAAAAATCTCCAAAAAATTTTTTCGATTCCCACAGCTATTCTAACATTTCTCAACCTTCTTTTAGCCTTCAAAAATCTTCTATACGCCACTTTTCTCTTAATCAGTAGCTTTTTGCTCACTGTTTTTCTCTGTTTTGCTTCTGTGTTCTGTACCTATTTATAGGGATTGATCAGAAGAGTTTTTTATCAATCCCTACTCCTTTTTAGATGTGGATTCAATATTTGAATCCAATCTAGACTCTAATTGAATCCCCATTCTCGATAGAATTTTTCAACAGAATTCAATCTCAGCCTTCCAAAATAAAAATCAGAAAAAAAATTAATAGATAATTAGGAAAATAATAATAAGATAAATCAACAATATTATAAGATAAATAAAAAAATAATAATAACAGATAAATAAATATATAATTAGATAAATAAAAATACATATAAAATAAAATGAAAAAGAGAAAAAAAAGGGAAAAATAAAATAAAAATATATATATTAATAAATAGTAATAATAAATAAATAATAAATACATAGGATATAAAGGAAAATATATACATAAAATATAAAATAAAAATGACAAAAATATAAAACAAAATTGGGCTTACCCATTTGGACCAAGCCCAATTGATCCAGCCCTAGACTAAATTGGGTGTCTACAATATTGATGCACATATTTTATTCTCTTTTTTACAAATTTTATTAATTGTTTTATTAATTTTTATTTTTGATTTAAATTTTTGAAGAAAAAATGAATTTTTATTATATTGAAGGTTTTCTATAAATATTTCAATATACTGACAATATTTTTTTTAAAAAAATTTTTACCTAGAGATTTCGTAAAGTATCACTACTCGAAATACTTTAAAAATCTCATCATTGGATAAAAATTTTTTTTTCTTATTTATATTACTATATTGATGCACATATTTTATTCTCTTTTTTAGAAATTTTATTAATTGTTTTATTAATTTTTATTTTTAATTTAAATTTTTGAAGAAAAAAGGAATTTTTATTATATTGAAGGTTTTTTATAAATATTTTAATACACTGGTAATATTTTTTAAAAAAATTTTCTCACCTAGGGATTTCGTAAAGTATCACTACTCGAAATACTTTTAAAATCCCATCATTGGATAGAATTTTCTTTTTTCTTATTTATATTACTATTTTTAATAATAAATTAATTAATTTTTAATTTTTTTATTTTTAAAAAAAAAAATTTTTGTTATATTGAAAATTTTTTTATAAATACTTCAATACACTGGTAGTATTTAAAAAAAATCTTCTCATCTAGATATTTCGTAGGCATCACTACTCGGAGTACCTTTGAATCTAATCGTCGAATAAAATTTTTCTTTCTTACATTTTTATTATTTTTGTATTATTTTTATTTAATTAAATTTTTTTACCAATTATTTTATAAAGTTTATTCAAAATTATCAAAAAATTTTATTATATATTTTATTATTTATTTTTATAAAACAACAAAAATTTATTTTGATAAATTTAAATATTTTAACATGCATAAATATTAAGAATAATAATTAAAATAACAAAAATAATATATAAAAAATCTAAAAAAATTTTAAAAAAATTTTTTTTACCTAAATCGAACTAGTCAATGATCCAGTCAACAAGTGGTTCGATAGGGTGGTTCAGTTCAACGGTTCAGGATGGTTCGGTTCGGTCTAGATTGGTTCAACTGAACCAGTCAGAGGGTGAAGAAGAAGCGGATTTTTGAGTCGAATGTTCAAACCCTGGGTCGGATCATGAGTTGACGCATAGATCCTAAGGGCTCAAAATGATGTCGTTGTGGGCGTTTAGTGAAACAGCGTCGTTTTGGCTATTGGTAACTTCTATAAAAGCCCAAAAAAAAATTTCGATCATTTCTCCACCTCTCTTAAAAAAAAACTAAAATTCTCTCCAAAAATTCAAATTGATCAATTCCAAGAATCGACGATTGCTCTGTCAATCGGCGTCCACATCATTGATCATCGACCGCCATCGTCGATGGTCGAAAAATCTAAAAACAGCTAAAATATCCCTTTCAACCCCTTCAACATAGATCCAGCCTCTGTTTTTTTGTGTGTTTATGTGTTTTTCTTATGCTAACGTTGGGTTCCCCTACCTTGGGATTGTGTTTTTGGATTTTTTACTTTTTTATTTTTTTACAGGGTATTTTTTTTTGACAGAAAGCTTTTTTTTCTTTTTAAAATTTTTTTTAGCAGTTTTTTTTCGATCCCTCTCCCCTTTTCTTGCAGGTAACAAGCTTTATTTATAAAGTTTTTTGGGATTCAAATCTCAGATTTTCTGGGATTCGAATCTCATATTTTCAACTTAAAATCTACGCTACCAAGTTAGGTAGTGTGTCAGATGGCTGCCGACGGTGGCGACAGCTGGCATTTTGAACTTTGGTGATGGTGCATTTAATGCACTAGATCTTGTCAAACTGAACCGGATAAAGAAAGAAGAAGAAGGAAAAAGAAAAAAAACTAATAATAATTAATAATAATAATAATAATAATGATAATAAAAAAATAGTGTTTACAGTTGTCCTTTTTTACCTATTTTTGAGAATTAAGAATAAGACAAAGACAAATAAATAATCATTTTGTTCTGAAAGAAGAAACATTGAGCATAATTTTTTTTTTTTAAGGCTCCAGAAGTTTAACAACTTTTTTGAAAATTTAAAAGGCTTATTTGAGCAGAGGCTCAACAACTTTTAAAAATTATAAAAAAAAAAACTCCTTTAAGTAGAGCCTCAACAACTTTAAAAATCTCATCTTGAAAAAGCTCCTCTCAACAGAGGCTCAACAACTTTAAAAATCTCATCTTGAAAAAATTTCTCCCAGCAAAGACTCAACAATTTTAAAATTCATCATCTTAAAAAAAGCTCCACTAAGCAAAGGTTCAACAACTTTAAAGAAATTCTCATTTTGAAAAAGCTTCTCTCAACAGAGACTCAATAACTTTAAAAAAATTCTCATATTGACAAAGCTCCTCTCAGCAGAAGCTCAACAACTTTAAAAATCCATATGTTCTTGAAATCGAGTTCTAATTCTTGAACAAGTAAATTTCTCTCTTTTGAAATCTTTTGTTTGATTATTATCTTCATCCGAATATCAAAATCTTATATTTCATTAGAAAATGGAAAGTCTCTGTCTTTATTATAACTACTTATGGATGCATGTACTGAGTATTCTAAATGTAATGCATGTAATGCAATCAAAATTATTCATTGTAGTAAAAAAGTTTTCAAAATCTCTCACTTTTTAGCTTCTTTTATCAGAATTCTCCATAAATTATCATATGACCAATCTATTCTTAACATCCGACCATTATATTCTTCCTTCAAAATATTTTTCTTCTTCAAAAGTTTGCAACATCAATGTCTTGTCATGCTTTTCTCATTCTTTTTCGTCTGCATTTGTCAACTTTTAAAAAAAGTAATGCTGAGATCTTTCATGCTTGTTTTCTTTTTCATCATTTTAAGTTCAAGACAAACAAAATGCAATCACACATTTCTCCTATTTGTATGGTGAACAAAAATATCAAATGAGAATAAAGAAATGGATAGAAGTTATTTCCAAAGGAAAGATACCATATTTCGTTAGATTGATAAAGTGTTTGAGTCAAAACAAATGTTCCCCAAATAATGATAATAAGATAACCACGAACAAAATATTCCCAAATTCTTTTTTTAAAACTAAATCAGATGATTTCTTTGATCCTTCAGAGTTCATCAAACTACACTTACCCCTGTGTTGTAAGTATATCTAAGTAACATTTTCAGGTTTTTAGCTTAAATATTTATTTACAACATCTGAATTTATTGGAATAGATAAATCACCTTCATCTATCTCTATCAAAATTAATGTCCTATCAGAAAAGGCCTTTTTCACCACGTACGGGCCTTCCCAATTTGGTGTCCATTATCCTCGATTGTCATTTTGATTTGAAAAGATCATTTTTAGCATTAAGTCTCATTCCCTAAAGTAACGATGATGGATTTTCTTATCATGTGCTCTCATCATCCTCTTTTGATATAATTGACCATGACAAAGTGCTGTAAGTATTTTCTTTTCAATGGGATTTAATTGCTCATAACGATTTCAAACCCATTTTGCTTCCTCTAACTCTACCTTCATTAGCACTCTCAGCGAGAGAATTTTCACTTTGATCGATAGCACAGCTTCCATTCCATATACCAAAGAGAATGGGGTAGCCCCAGTAGATGTTCAGACTGATGTTCTATAAACATGCAAAAAAAAGTAACTTTTCATGTCAATCTTTGTAAGTATCAGTCATTTTTTTTAAGATTCTTTTGATATTCTTATTTACAGCCTTCACTGCCCTATTCATCTTTAGATGATATGATGTTGAATTATGATGATGGATCTTGAACTAAATGCACATTTCATTCATCATTTTGTTGTTTTTGGCATTATAAAAAATAATTATCTCTAGAAGCCCATATCTGTATATTATCTCATTTTTATGAACTTGCATACCATAGATTGGGTCACACTAGTATATAATGCAGCTTCTACCCACTTCATGAAGTAATCAATCATTACAAAGATGAATCTATATCCATTCGAAGCTTTTGGAGCGATAGGACTAATGACATCCATGCCCTACATAAAAAGTGGCCATGAAAGAGCCAGAACATGTAATGCTGATGGTAGAGCGTGAATCTTGTCAGTATAGATCTAACACTTATGACATTTTCTGACATAATTAATATAGTCACTCTCCATTGTCAACCAATAATAGCCAGCTCTCATGATTTGTCTAGCCATTATATGACCATTTGCATGTGACTCACAAACTTCATCATGCACTTCTTCAATAATCTTCTTTGCTTAAGCTGCACTCACACATGTTAAGAGCACTTAATCTCGACCCTTTTTATAGAGGATATCTTTATCTAGGAAAAAACTCGTAGCCAATCTTCTGATAGTCCTTTTATCATTTTTTGTTGTATGTTCTGGGTATTGATGGCTTTTAATGTATTGCATAATGTCATGATACCATGGTTTCTCATTAACTTCTTCTTCAATGCCTAAGCAATGTGCTGGTACATCTTTCACATCCAACTTTATGGGTTAGATCTTAGTATTCACATCTATTTTAATCATTGCAGCTAGAGTAGCCAGTTTATCAGTAATTTGGTTCTCCTCTCTAGGCAAATACTCAAACTAAACTTCTTCGAATTGTTTAACCAACTCAAAGATGTATTTATGGTATCGTATCAACTTAGAATCTCTCATTTGCCATTCTTCTCGCAATTGATAGATGACTAGAGTTGAATCTCTAAACAAATCCAACACTTTGATCTTCTTTTCAATTGCTACTTGTAGACTTATAACACAAGCCTCGTATTCAGCCACATTGTTTGTACAATCAAATTCAACCTAGCTGTGATTGGATAATAATGTTCATTGAGAGAAATTAAAATTACCCTAATACCATGACTCAAAGCATTAACAGCTCCATTAAAATATATCTTTCAAGACTTTTCAACAGGTTCATTTTCTTCAGTGGCCATCATATCTTCATTAGAAAAATCTAATTTCATTGGCTCATAATCTTTGACTATACGATCAGCAAGGAATTTGACATTGCACTCTATTTAATAGCCTTTTGAGTCACATAAATAATATCATATTCTGAAAGTATAACTTGCCATCGTGCTATTCTTTCTGTCAATGAGGGCTTTTCGAAGATATACTTAATTGGATCTAACTTGGCTATGAGCCAAGTAGTGTGGTAAAGCATGTATTGTCTAAGCTTTTGAGCTGTCCAAGCCAATGTACAACACATCTTCTTTAATGGTGAATACTTGGACTCATAATCAGTGAATTTTTTACTCAAGTAGTAAATTACTCATTCTTTCCCGTCAGTTCATCTTTTTGCCCCAGCACATATCCCACTGAATTTTCATGCATTGTTAAATACAAAATCAAATGTTTCCCCGGGATTGGCAACACCAACACAGGTGAATTTGGTAAGTATTCTTTAATCTTATCAAAAGCTTCTTGGCATTCATCATTCCATTCTCTTAGATCATGTTTTCTAAAAAGCTTGAAAATAGGATCGCACTTGTAGGTAAGTTGAGAGATGAAACAAGCAATATAGTTCAATCTCTCTAGGAAACCTCACACTTCTTTTTATGTACAAAGAGAAGATAAGTTTTAAATGGCTTGTATCTTAACTGGATCCACTTCGATTCCTCTTTCACTGACCACAAAAGCCTAATAGTTTTCTTAATTTGGCATCGAATGTACATTTAGCAGGATTCAACTTCAGCTGAAATCTTTTCAACCTATCAAACAGTTTTTTGAGATTGACTTCTTTCACGAGATTTTACGATCATATCATTCATATATACTTTTATTTTTTTATGCATCATATCATGAAAGAGAGTCATCATTGCTCTTTGATAAGTGGCACCATCATTTTTCAACACAAAAGACATGACTTTGTAACAAAATGTCCCCCACATGGTCACAAATATAGTTTTCTCCAATCATCTTGAGTCATCTTGATCTGATTGTAGCCTAAGAAGCCATCCATAAAGAAAAATGTGAAATGGTATTATCTACTAGGGTATCGATATGGGGCAGAGAAAAATTATCCTTATGACTTGCTCTACTCAGATCTTGATAGTTGACACACATTCTTACTTTTTTATTTTTCTTGGAAACTGGCACTATGTTGGCTCCCATTCAGGATATTTTGTCACCTCAAAAAATCTTGCATCAAATTATTTTTTCACTTCTTCCTTAATTTTCAATAGCATTTTCAGTTTCATGCACCTTAACTTTTGCTATACTGGTTTGCATTCTGATTTCAAAGGCAACTTGTGTTCTACAATATTAGTGCTAAGTCCTGGCATATCCTGGTAAGATCACGCGAATACATCTACATATTCTCAGAGTAACTCTTTTAACTTCTGCTTTTCAGTTGGTAAAATGAATGTACCAACTTTGATTTTTTGGTAAAGCTCTATTGGTTTATCTTCATGTTCTATTAATTTTAACAAATCAAGAGGCAGTGTGTAATTATCCAAATCTTTCTCATTATCAAGTTCGTCAACATGAATTAAGTTTTTAAAATCAAATATGAGATTATTACCATAATTATCTTCGTGTTCATTATTTGAGACCCTACAAAGGGTAAGATGAAGAGAATATTAGCACACGAAAATGGAATGACAAGGAAATAGAAAGTAAAATGAAGATGAAAATAATAAAAAAAAATACATATCCATCTTCTATGTCTTTTATTAAAATAATAAACATAAAGATACCACAAAAGATCACCCAATACTCATAAAAGTAATTAGGGATTTAAAGTTTCATAATACATTACTTTTCAGAAGTTTTAAAGGTAACAAGTAGCTCTATGACTTTCCAGTTATTTAATGTAATATCTTAAGGATAAGAGAGCATGCACAGCTCTTCATCTCGACTCTTCTTTTTTTCATCATCCATCATTTGAATGACCAGCTCTGAAAATGCTTTCACGCATTGTGCACTTAAGGCTCTAAGCAAATCTGGGTAAATATATCCTCTCGAACAAAAAAAATCATAGAGGTATGGAATGACCATAGGCTCTAACTCCAGCTCGTATCCCTCAAGATTAGCTATTGTCTTATCTTTTTTCTCATTCACCATTTTTATTTTATCCCCTCTTGCTGGCTTATATCTCAAGCCAAATTTGTATTTCTTGTCATATACTATTGGTGGCTCTATGATTTCTTGCAAATTTTTCCTTAGTCCAGTTTTAGGTTGCCATCCCATCTTGGTAAGCTGTTTGATAACCATTTTAGTTATCATAGACAAGTGTGACGAATACAATTTAGATCATTTAGTCACATATGTTGCATTGGGAATCTCAAAGGACCTATAAGAACATTATAATGCTTCATCTACTGATTTCACATAAAGAATATTTATCATTTGAGTTACTAATAAATCTTCTTCTCCTGCCACACATGTTAGCTTTCATTCAATAATAAATTTGACTTCTGATGTAATAAGGATGGAATAACATCTGTCATATGGATCTATGGCATACCTAATAAACAATTGTATGAAGAAAAAATGTTCATAACTTGAAATTTCACGTTGAAAGTGTATGGGCCAATTTATAATGGCATTTCTATGTCTCTCAGCACCTCTTTTTAGGTTCCATTAAAGGCTCTCACTATCATATGACTAGGCTTCATATAAGATCCATCAACAAAGAGTTTTGCCAGAGTAATCACAGGCATAACATTGATGCATGAGCCATTATCAATCAAAACTTTAACCATTATATGACTTTTATATTTAACAATAATATGGAGGGCTTTGGTACTTCCTCGACCTTCAAGAGAAATTTTTTCATCACTAGAAGAAATATAGTTTAAAATTGTCAGATTGCCAATAAGTTGTTCCACATATTAAACAAAAATATTGTGAGACATATATGCTTAATTTAGCACCTTCAGCAGAGCATTACAGTGTGACTCTAAGCTGAGTAATAATGATAATAACGAAATCTTAACTAGCATCTTGTTCAACTATTCTATCATGTTATACTCGCTATGTTTTATTAGCTTTAAAAATTTACATGCTTCGCTTTTAAAGATCGACTTCTGACATTCTTTATCTGGGACTGCAATAAGATTATTCTAACTTTTCTCTTCTTTTCTCATCTTTACTTTTTTTCTTGGCTTTCTCTAAAACTTCTGAAGTATAACATCTTTCACTTCAAGTCATACCTCATACGCCCATTATGTTTGCAATATCTGGATTGACTACAACATCATAATCATATTTTTACAGTACTGTTTTGTCATTTTACTATAAAAAAGGGCCAGAAACTTTAATTGTCATTACTGATTAGGAGATGGGTTTTTCTAGCCTTGGTGTTGACTTATCATCATAATAAATTGTTACTGGTCTACGCATAAACTTATTCTTTGAATCAATAGTAGACACTTTAGCTTTCATCAATTATTTTCTTTCTTCATAAAACTCTATCCGACCCATATCCATTAACTTTTACACCTCTTGATGAAATTGGTACTAATTCTCAATAGAATGCCCCAAATCACCTCTGTGATAATTATAGCTCTCAATTGAGTTAATCGTTTTAGAACAATTTTGAAGTTCTATTGATTTCAATATGTCAGCTTTAACCAAGACTCCAAACACCTTAGCCATTAGAGTCTTAACTTCATATATTTTTTCCTTCACGTGGTTTCTTTGCCCATCAATTAAGGCATTTATTGATGGTCTGGTATGGTTCGGTTGAAGGTTTCCATTAACATTTGGAGTTTCTTATTAGTTAGTATCAAAGTTTAACACCCCTTCATTAATTAACCCTTACACTTTACGTTTCAAAATAGTATAGTTCTCAATGGAATGACCTGGATTCTCATAGTGATAGTCACAATGCGCATTGGAGTCATAACATTTGGGAAACGAAGGTTTCGATGGTTCAACAATAACAAGAACAAGTAAATATTTCTCAACAAGTCAGGGATACAAATTTGTGTATATCATGGGAATGAAGTCAAAAGTGGGTTTTTCTTTGATATTTCTTAAGGCTCTTAGACCATTATTAGGTCTCTATTCTGGTCTGGTAGGTACAGCAGGATGGTTGTAAGAATATGTGGGTGTTCAAAAAGATGTCTGAAATTGAAGTGGATAAGCTAGTTGTGGTAATGGTTGGTATGGCTGATATAGATGATGAGTGGATGTAATATTATTTATGAGAGGGTAATGGGTTTCGTAGACTGGTGTAGGGTAGGACGTGAAACCTCTGAACTGTCTACATAGTTCACCACTTGAGCTTCATTCTCTTTCTTTTTGGAAACTCCACCTTTCTTTACTCCACTCGTTTTTCTTACATCAAGCTTACCATTTTTTATGGTATTTTTAAAAATTTCACTCGATATCATCATATCTGTAAAGTTTTCGATTACATTGCCTATCAGTTTCTCATAGTATGGTGTTTTCAGGATGTTCATAAATAAGATAGTTATCTCTTTCTTGATAAAAAGAGGTTGGATTTGTGCAGCCACATCTTTTCATCTTTGTGCATACTTTTTGAAGCTTCAGTTACTTTCTTTTCATACTCTGTAAAGATAGACGATCTGGAGCTAAATCCGTAATATGTTGATATTATGTAAGAAATACCTTTGTGAGTTTTTGCCAAGAATGAACATACCATCTAACTACAAATCTTATAAGATTATCTTGAAATACGTGCATTAACAACTTTTCATCATGAGTATGTACTGTCATCTTACGATAATATATGGTGATATAAGTCATTAGGTATTTTGTGCCATCATATTTTTTAAATTCAAGACCTTAAATTTAGGTGGAATGACCACATCTGTGACCAAGCAAAGGTCGGTTGCATCCGTAAAGCCATAAAAATTTATTTCTTCTATGACCTTAAGCTTTTCTTCC